CACTCTGTGATCCCAGTCCCGGGCCGCTTAGCCATCCCAATCCGCCCCTGATCTACTTGGATGAAATTTGGAAATAGCAAAGCATTGGTAAAAGAAAATGTGTTTTGTATAACCTGTCCTTAATTATGTCTTATAACAGTAAAATTTTACATACAATGTATATACATGCAGTGTACATAAATAATTGGCTCAGTCAATTTGACTGACCACATGACCTCTTTGTACTTGATTAAAGTCTTTATAGATTTAATACTTCTAACTTTCAATATAGTGTGTATATCTTAACAAAATTTGGCAGTCTTTCAGTTAATATTATAAGTCTTTCAAATACAAAAAATCATATTTTTTAGTGAAGGATTTTAATAAAGTAAAATAAAGATTTGTCCATGAATATATTGAGTATTTGTTATGAATAGTCCGTGTGCAAAGTAATTTTCATGTTAAAATCAAAAATACTTTTCCTCATCTCAAAAATCTCAAATTTCCTTTTTGTAATCCCTAAAAACCTCCTAAATGCATTTCAAACATTTTATTTCATTAAAACTACATAATTTATTTGTTATTTTCTCTACCCTATCTCAAAAAGGGATCAGTCAAATCGATCAACCTTTAAACCCCCCCCCCAAAAAAAAATCAAAATAAATCTAAATTACCTTTTTTCTTTCTAGAATGACTTCAAATTGTAACATGAAACTACCTTCATTTATCCTAAGTAGCTCTAATTTCATAACATTATACATCTATTTATAATTAAATTTTATTGTTTTATTGCCCTTTTAATTTCCCTTTGAACTGTGTCTAACTGCTATCTGCACCGTATAAGTTATAATTCACTCTGGGAACATGCAACTCACTTTACGATATCGAATTACATTACCCATGAGTTGCTCGTGTGTGTGCCTCATGAAACATTTTTGTAATATTGTAATATTATTATTATTATTTATTTTACCTAGTATAATCTTAACTAACCTAAAAGGATCTCTATTTTTACTTTTTAGTTACTTTTATAATTATACATAAAAAATAAACATGAAAAACAAGAAATAAAATACTTAACCAATCTTCTTTTTTCTTGCTGTTGATTGATGAAGAGAGTTAACCCTATATTTTTATACTAATAATAGTAATGCACTTAATAATTTTTATTTAATTAAATAATGCACAGAAGAATATAGACTTATAACATGTAAAAAGTAGATAAATTTCCATACTTCTCAAAATATTTTTGGCTTTCTAACTATGCAGAATTAAGAACTTAAAACTTATTTATTATTAAAATATGGATTATTAGATGAGATTTTATGCTATTCTAATTGTTATAACATAAACAAAAAGTAGTTTAATAAAATTTTGAATGTAAGACACTAAAACCTTGCATCATGCACAGTAAAGAATACCCATGGCTATAGGATTAAATGAAATTTTTCAACTTTTTTGTTTTTTTAGAGTTTTCATGCAGTGGAAGTGCTGTTATTGGGTGTTTACAATTTGGTAAGTTTTCATGAATATTCTGTTTTTGTTGGAAAAATTAAAAACTGTTTTTTACTTAGCAAAGTGTAGGCCACTGTTGTAAATTTTCATTAACTTCTATAGATTAATAAAATAAAAAACAAGAAAATTTCATGCATAAACATTAGTTTTTTGGAATTGTACTAATGCCTGAAAGTTTTGCTGTAGTGTTTTATCCTTCTTTATGATTTGTCTACCTACCCATAAACTAAGTTTCTCAAATTACTTTTTCCCATTTCAATGTATCTACAGTACTATTAAATCATGTCCTAGTTTTAACAAAAATAACACATCAAAATAGAATGTGATTGCCTTATCATAACTAAAATTAAAAATGCGGCATTGTCCTCCCTCTATAACTTCAACCCCTTAAAAAAACCTTCTTCTATTACACAGGTTGAGTTTTTCTGCCTTTAAGGAACTTGCCAATAGCTGAAATAATTGTTAACTGGCCATATAAAGGTACAGGTGTCATCAAAGTTTAAATCCTTCGATAATGATTGGCTTAAGCTTACTTCAACAGACTTTCAGATATTTTAAATATTGTAAACTCATCTCTGACACGACTTTTGCAGAAATTTATCCTACATGTTCCTGCCATGGTTTTATGTATGGCTTACCAAAAATACACAAAAATGGTTTACCCCTGAGACCTATTCTATCTAGTCTTGGTTCCCATGCCTACAGGCTTGCTAAATATCTTGTACCTGCATTAAGCTCACTAACTAATAATGAATTTACTGTTAAAGATTTAATAGTTTTGTGAAATATTTATTTCTAATCTAATACGTCAGTTTGAGCTGCAGCTAATTCACTTGAGAAAATCTTATGGGGTGTTTTTATTTATCTTTGTTTTCATAACCATACTTTATCAGTACTTTGAAACACAACAGATAGTATTATATTTGAGATTCAAAATCTTGTGAGCTAATATGAAAATTCAAGTGATAAGTTTTTTCTTTGTATTTTTCACACTTTAAAATATTATTTGAAACCATTTTAAATAGGAAGTGTTAAATGGTGAAGAGGAACCAGTTGTACAAAACTTTCGTCTGCCGTCTGTGTCCAAGCCTTCCATTTATCATGAGGTTTGTTTATAACTACAGATGTTGTTCTTTAAGGAAAAGAAAGTAATTAACAGAGAGTGAAGGTACCTTCAGATATAACTTTGGGCATCATTTTGAATTGTTCTTTTTATACATACACAGCTTTTAATGAAGGTAGGTGAGAATTGAGAAACATAGAATAATGTAGGTTAAGTAAACCTAAGAAGAATATCAAAACTGGTTAGGGCATTTTCACCAGATTTGTTCAAGAAGTTATGTATAATTTAGAATATTTAACATAATGCCTGTAAAAGTACAGTTATTACTATTTTCAGAAGTAGTGTGGTCAATGAACTCATGGCTAAAGGGACAGAAATGCCACATGAAAAACATGTATAAATCAACATTTTGTGTAGTGAAGACTACTCCATATGGCAGATTAAAGCAAAATTTTAATGCTTCAATAGGAGCTGTATGGAAACTGAATTTGGTAGATGAAGTTAATACAGTTGATAGTAGAATTGGTTGAGTTAGAAAATACAGTTGATAGTAGAATTGGTTGAGTTAGAAAAGCCCAAACTTTTCAAAAGTGATATTAAGTAGCTCAGAAAATACATTTTATGTGATACATGACAATACAGTGGTGATCTTGCCAATGACATAGGTATAAGTACATGAAGTTATGTTAGGTTTATTGAATGTGTACCTGCTCAAAAACTAGTACATAGGAAAAATAACCTAACCAAAAAGCTAAAATTGGCATCAGACTTTAAACAGTTTAACCATATATATTTAACTTTATATATTTTGTTTTGGGAAACTACAATTGTTTCTATATTCTTAGAAAAAGGATCCTAAAAAATATGTATATATATATATATATAT